CTGTGAGAGGCAGGGCAGTGAGGTGGAGAGTGGACTCTGGACTCTCACTGAAGTTGGCAGCTGGGCTCTGCTACTTATTAACAAGGTTCTTTGAGCAGACTAAAGTGGCTCTTGGGGCCCCAGTCCACTTCAGTAGTCTTCACGTAATCCTGAGGACAAGGGTGACCATCCAGGCTGGCAACAGCATCAGTACAACCTAGTCATTCTGATGACTCTGAGGATGCTCGATTTGGGAACAAAAGCCCCTCCTCCACAGAGTGTGTGAGCCTTGATTTGTAATCGGAAGTACACTATGGCAGTGTACCAGGAACCCAAGAACTATAGCCTCATGGTGCTAACCTGGAGGACAGTCTATCAGGGTGTACCTAGGGCCATTTGGGCTGGCTGAATAACACTCCTTCCCCCTCCCCTGAAGGCTACATCCTCATCCCAGAACCACGTCTCTGTTAGCCTTCAAGTCGGTGACACAGTGTGTCATCTACAAAGTTCTCTGCAGTTGAGTTAAAAGTGTTTCATAATGTTTAAAATAAGTTTACAATTTTGTGTTGGACCAGATTCATAGCTATCCTGGGGTGACTGCAGCTCACTAACTAGACACGCCTGAGTGGTGATGGTGCCTTCGCTCATGTGACTGTGTCATAGATCTTGAAGGGAGGTGGTACCCTTGGCTCATCTAGTTGGCTTCCTCAGTTCCAGAGTATTCATAGAAGGGGGAGGGGGAAGCAGGAAGAGCCAGGGTACCCAGAGTATGTTTGGAAGATGGAGGAAAGAGCCCAAGCCAGGGGATGCTGGCAACATCAGGAGGCTGTGAAGGCTACACTGTGGGTTTCTGTGGGAAGATGGCCCTGCCTTGAGGGTAGGCTTCAGGAACTCAAGGAAAATAGATTAATGGCGTTTTAAACTGCTACATTAATCAATGTCTGTCCTGGCAGACACGGGACACATCAGACCTTCTCAGTGGCAGAGAGTTGAGAGAACCCTATGATTGTCCTGTTTTCACTGTGAGGACAGCCAAGACTGTCCCTGGCACAGAACACCCTACCTGGCCTCTGGAGACCCTACTGAGTGTCACCACAGTGCCTTCTCTCTCCTGGTCCCAAGGTAGAGGCTACTGCTATGTTGTGCCTCATCCCTGTTCCCTGGGCCTTCTCGGAGATGTGGCTTGCAGGAGAAATCCTGGACACTCCTAACACACACCTCTTCCTAAGAGATGCTGACTCTGGAGGGAACCTCAGAGCCTTGAAACATGGTGGCTAAGTCAAGAAAAGCAGGACTCTGCCCACCTGAGGATGAAGCAGAGACAGAACAGCAGTGATACAGTTCTCAGAGAGCCACCGTGCGTGTTCCTTCCTACACTGGGCACAGGACCCTTGTGATGGCTCAGGCTCGCTATGATGGGAAAGTTTACATCATAGTCACTGGCCAAGGTCACTGTGGCAGTCATGGTGAGACTTGGAGGGGAAGGCAGAGAACCCAATTTCTATGTACCACCATCCATGGTATCCACAGGGGACTAGTACCAGATCCCCAACCAAGGATGCTCACACCCACCCCTCCTGTGGGGATGCTCACACCCCCACACCCGCCCCCATGAGAATGCTCACACCCCCACTGTGAGGATGCTCACACCCCTCCTGTAAGGATGCTCACGCCTCTCCTGTAAGGATGCTCACACCCCTCCTGTAAGGATGCTCACATCCCTCCTGTCTTTTTTGCAATGGGCTTGACACTCTCCCATGCACATTGTATCCCCTGACGATGTCTCGTGATGCCTGCCCCACTGTGAAGACTGTAAAGAGTGGCTGAGCCTTGTTCAGGGAATGGTGATAAGAAAAAGCCCACTGCACAGGTGCAGGACAAATCTACCCCTGTGAATCCTGGGGATTGAACTTGCAGCCTTGTGCATACTAGGCCATTGCTCTACCATTGAGATGCATCCTCAGACCTCTTTTACTTTTTGGTTTTTTCAAGACAGGGTTTCTCTGTATAGCCCTAGCCCTAGCTGTCCTGGATCTCACTCTTGCAGACAAGGCTAGCCTCAAATTCCAAGATCCTTCTAAGTGCTCTGATTAAAAGCGTACACACCACCACCCAGCCTCTTTTTTATTTTTTTTATTTTGAGACAGGACTCAGTAAGTTGCCCAGGCTGGCCTTGAACTCACTCAGTAGCCAAGGCTGTCCTTGAACTTGTTTGCCTCAGCCTACCTTACCCAGTCTCTCTGATTACAGGCCTGTGTCACCAGGCCCTGCCCAGGCAGTCCTGTCCCCAAACCCTGCAAAGCTCTCAATTTATGGTTGATTGAGTCCCCAGATTTGGAAGGGAAGTTCTAGAGGGCCCTCTGCACCTTTGCTTCTGGAAGGCTGTGCATGTGTGTGTGAGTGTGTGTGTGTGTGTGTGTGTGCGTGTGTGTGAGTGTGAGTGTGTGTGTGCGCGCGCGTGTGTATGTGTGTGTGTGTGTGTGAGTGTGTGTGTGAGTGTGTGTGTGAGTGTTGTGTGTTGGTGTGTGTGTTGGTGTGTGTGTGTGTGTGTGTGTGTGCGTGCGCGCGCGTGTGTATGTGTGTGTGAGTGTGTGTGCGTGTGTGTGTGTGTGTGAGTGTGTGTGTGCGTGCGCGCGCGTGTGTGTGTGTGTGTGAGTGTGTGTGTGCGTG